TTCGGCGTCACGGCAGACCGCTCTGTGGCTTGGGTCGGCTTTGGTCGGTCTTTGTGTGTGGTGCATCGACCGACCTCAAACACACACACGAGTGGTGGCTGAGGTGTCGGAGCGGCCGCTAGGCGTTGGCAGAGTCCCGCCTGTCCCTGATGCTGCCTCGACAGTCGACTCCGGGGGGGGGGGGGGGGCAGGAGCTCCATCGAGCCGTTTAGGACAGAGGGTGAATACACATACTATACAGAGATGCTGTATGAGAAACCAATGTGATTTTGGAAAATTGCACAATATAAATCTATTTTAGTATACCTCAACAATGGAATTATGATCAGTACAAATGGCCATGACATGGGACCTTTACAATATGCTTTGTTTACTCTCTGAGTGATTAACCAACAGAGAAAAACAAAACTGCAAACAAGCAAGATGGGATTTGTTGATCCATAACGCAACACAAGCACAGCAAGCCAAGTCATACACTGTATGAATATACATTAGTTGTAGCTGAATATGTACTTACTTTTATTGGTTTCATGCCAACTGCACTTAAGCGCTTTAACCCTTTGAACCCTACAAGCCCCGAGGGGGTAGGAATGAGATGTTTACTTTAAAAGAAAACAGCCCAAATTACACCAATTATCATACCAGAAAAACAGAAGAAATTATAATTTTTTTTAAAAGAAATTATTATCTGACTGGAAGATTTTCCAATTTCCAACGGTCTATGAAGGAATCATTTGTGACGAAAGTCAGGAAAAGTAAAAAAAACTCAAGTTTATAACAACTGGCACAACTGGGAAGCTATGAATGACTTGGCTGAGACCTAAAGTCACATGACGAAAACGAAGAGAAACTCTGAATGAACTGTGAGCTGTTTACAAGGAGGATGTTGTGAATAGTTCAATGTTTAAAGCATGTGTAGCTCCAAGTTTATCCCTAATCTTAGTATCTTAAGAGTACTGAAGTATTTTACTTTGGCCAGTGAAGTTTTAAGCAGCATGTCTGAAAAGTTTACTGTACTGTCTGATGACAAGTACTGTACCACTTCTTTCACAGGAAGACAAAAAAAGACTGCCCCGCACGCAAGTTATGGCCACTTCAGCATAATAACTACTCGTTTATAAAACACAACATAAATTCTGTTAAATTGTGTTTCATGTTCGAGGCCCTTTTATGTGACTATAAACAAAGGAGAAGTCTTCACTGGAAGAAGAGACGAGAGGGAGATGAGCAACATTATTTTCTCTTCTGTCCAACATCTCTTTTAATTTCCAAAACTATAATTACCTACTTTTATAGTTTATAGATCATTTTTCACATGCAGTTATTACATCCTTAAGAGTTTGAAGTCAAGAATAATAATATTAATAAAGAGACTGCATATGTTGAAAAATCGTTTGAAGGAACAGGTTACAAACTGCCTTAAGTAAACTCAGGATGATACATTAAGTTTAACTTCAAAGTAAAAACATTTATGTTTGAAATAGTGTGCTGCTGACAAGAAAAATGTTGCCACTTATGTAGCAACCGCCACACTATGTCCCACTTAACCAGTGGAAAAAGTTATTGTTAGATGTTTCAGAGGAACTGTCGACAGCACGATTAAAAGTACGAACAGTACTACCAGACAGCAGAGAGGTGGAATTTGTTTTCAGATAAGGTTAGGATATTACACCCATTTCGTACTATCATTATGTGTCAATCATTGTATGTCTTTATTTTTAATTTTATCCAGGGTGTTTCCTGGTTTTCATCCCTTTCATTTTGTGAGAATAAAACAAGGGAAGGGGTGAACAAAAAATAAAGATAACTGAGGGCAGGCTGGTGCAAAACACTTGGGCTAATTAGGGAACAAATTAAATAAATGTTTTTCTTAAAGGTGGGGTAGGTAATTTTGGACAAACCAGCTTGAGTGCGCTAGAATTTGAAAATACACAGCCGGAAAAAATCTGCCACTTCCTTACAGAGCCCCTCCTCCAACACACACGAACGTCGAACGTGCACATGACCAATGAGGGCACGAGATACATTTGTGCACAGATGGAAGGCTGACAGGCAGGTAGGCCATCCAGTTATTTTAGCCGGGCCGGCTAAAATAATTGGTCGTACGTTTTACAGTACTACGGCTTCCACAGATGACATTTTTTAATGGATTTTTTGTCAAAGCACTTATTCATCGCTATCGGGATGTTAAGAGCATTCCATGGAATATAACAAAAAGTGTATCTCGAGCCGGTTTCTCAAACGTACCTACCCCACCTTTAACATTCCTCTAAACGTCACAGTACATTTATTAATCAGGCCCTCTTATTAGGGTCAAGAGATACCTCTAAACACAACAGAACCAGAATTCAAGAAACAATATAAGTCAGCAAGGATATAACAAAAATAAGAATTAATAATAAAGCTTTAAAAGGTAAGCTAATGGCAGCTAATATATCATTCTGTATAAGTAGGTTCTGTTGTATACAACTTTAAATTACTTTATAGTTAAGTCAGAATATAGCTGGTCAATAGTGGCTGATTAACTTTTACTGCAGCTCAGATAGCAGAACCAAAGCACCCATACAATAACTGTGGTCTAATCATTATTGTATGACAACATGTTAGGTAAAGAGAGTAGTGATTTGCACACAAACACAAAGCAGCACTGCACTCTGTGCCATGTGAATATCCATCAGTGATCAGGATTAGCAGGTGGCAGCTGCTGGTCCAGCTGGTGTAGATGTCAGAGCACAAAGTTAGAACACTTGTTCGACACCAAACTAATGCTCAAGGTCTCGCACAATGGTGCCCTTTCTCTCCGATTAGTAATGCGATCAACTGGTCTCTCATCAGGCCAGGGTGTTTGAAATGAAATGCATTTTAGGCGCTCACATTGGAAAGCTGCTTAAAACTGGTGCAAGTCAGAAAACAAAAAAGCAGTCGGCAGTTGCTGCGGAGAAACAAACAGAAATTGGACGTTATTTAATATTGTATTTATGATTATTGATTCCATTGACACAGTACCACAGAAAATCTAAAAGGGACAGAGATAGTAAGAAGTGCATTTAGCAGAAGTGGAAAAGATAAGAACGACACATTTCTTCTCTGACTCAAACCCTGAGGGCCAATTTAGGTATTGGCAACTTGCCAATATCTTACTGCAAAAGCAAAACTTATACACAACCAATAGAGGTTGATACGGTCAATCTGAAAAGCCTTAATTCAAACTTATTTTGTCCTTCTCTAAAACCGCGTATAAAAGGAGTGTTATACAAAAACATGTGCGAGGAGAAAGTGAACGAGCAACTTCTGAAAATGTTATTTCGTATTATTTGGCCATACACAGCTTTTAGATGGTGAGATGTAGATCTTTGACAGCTAGAAAGACACTATAAACTGACCCCCCTCTAAACTACTATGTACTGTATTTCCACAGTGCAGTGATGCATGCACTGTTTGTGCATCAGTCAAGGCAGAGTTAAATTACAAAAACACAATCAGACTATCTGCATACAACGCATTTTAGTCATTCATCAACTGAGTATCATGCTGACTAAACTTCCTGTCATTTTCCCCTCGATTTAACGCTGTGTGTATTTCCATAGCAGATTAGTTGGGGCAACATCTCAGGTGGTTTCTTTTCATTGACTTGTGCTTTATGACAGGAAACAAGTCACAGCACAGAGATCCTGATTGACAGCTTGGCTTTTTTTACACGACGCACTGCAACATTTCTGTATAAAAATAAGTCAAGTAAGCAACTCTGCATTTACCTGAATGTAATGCTATCACTTACATACAGTAACACTAAGATACTGCAGTGAGTAACTGCCAACACGGTTAACCATATTTGTTTATGCAGTCATTTTTAATCACAATGTAGAATTTTACTGGGTGTTGTGTGGCAAACCACTCCAACCTCATCTCATTCAGACCTCAAGCCACAGGCAGGCCTCAAATCCCAATAACTCTGAAACTCACATACGGCTGCCAAATACTATTTACATCATCTATGTTGAAGCCCTTAAACCAAGCATCTGAGAGTGTCCTGTGTTGCTTAAAGAGACACTGAGAACATACCAAAGACTACTGATGATGAGAACTATGGTATTTACAGCACTTAGGTACAGTACTAAGGCTGGTCATTCAATATTGGGTATTATTACTGTTATACCTATTGTTACTCAAGCAGCGCCTCCGGGTCAAATAGTAA